CGACTTATTACATACAACATCCTCTTTTTTAAACAGTATGACATGATAACCCAGGAGCCAACATTGAAACAGAACGAGCGGGTATTTCCACGTAGAGAATAAATTCAATCCGGAATATAATCTGTAGCTCTCGGTAATTCCCCGCGCTATATTTCAGTCTTGGATAACGTAGGACAATAATTCTCTTTGACACGTAAGTAATAGAGTTTAATTTAGGTAAACAATAGTTCACAGGGAATCCCCGCGTCTTTCTATGTGTGAGATTAGCTCTGATTTATTTTTAATGTATGAAAGAAAGTCTCAGTACTCATTTGTCTGTCATCAGGTTCAATTGACCTAGTCGATAGTTTTTTTGTTAAGTGACTGATGTGTAATTTTGAACACTGCTTCGCTGGAGAGATTTCATTTAGTGTATGAACGTATGGAACCACAACAAATATGTAAGTACTGGAATAAAATGTGTTATTTTATTTATTTTTCAAACGGTGAGACTGAGTATAAATTGTGATATGATTGTTTTATTATTGAATCTAACTAATGTGGCATAGGTATAAACGTTTGCATGCGAGTTGCGAGGTTTTAAGTCGCACGTTTGTATGTTAGTTTTGTCCGCACGTATCTCAAAAAATATCATTTCGTTCGACGATAATTAAATATATAGGCTAGCACCGACTTAAAAAAAATAGTTGGCATCTTTATTATCTCCCTTTCACTTATCCATTAATAAATTAAAGTTTTGAAGGCGGTTTATTTTATAAAAATATTTTTATTTTTGTTTGTTTGTCCTTTTCCACGTCAAAGCGGAGCAACAGTTCATGATTTTTTGTATAGATATAGTTGGGGGACTAGAGAGTGCTATATCAAATATTACCTACATACTTACTTACTATTTAGTTGTTAATTAAATTGTTTTACCTAATTGTTTTAGGTCGTCAACAAAGAAGACAGTTTTCAAGGAGTTCTTCAACAAACGGACAACATCTTCAATCTGGGAACATTTTCTAAGGGCCGATAATGGACAAACCGTCGAGTGTAAACACTGTAAAAAAGTTTTAAAAACGCCTGGTGGTGCAACTGGAGCATTACATACTCACTTGCGGGCCAAACATATCACTGAAGTGCCACGAGCGAGTACTTCAAATCAGAGTCCGATAGTGCTCAAAGTCAAGAAAAAGGAAGGGCGCCCCGGGCCCACATGAAGCACCCCAAAAGAAAACTAAACTCACGGATTATTATGTAAGCGACTCTTCCATGGAGTTAAGAGTGACTAGAATGGCAGCATCAGATGGTATCCCGTTGAGCAAATTTTGTACTTCTGAAGACCTAAGGCATGTTTTTAAAAATCCGGCTATGATCTACCGAAATCGCCAACAACTATAACCAGGATAGTTTTAGAGCTACATGATAATACAAAAAACGCACTGATACGTCTTTTAAAGGAAATGAAGTCCCAAAACAAAAGATTTACAATGACATTTGATGAGTGGACCTTTACCCGAAATAAAAGATATATGAATATATCCACAGTAAAGATCTCGAACCAGCTAATTACAAAAATTTGGGTCTGGTGAGAATAAAAGGTTCAATGCCAGCAGATGTAGGAACTCAGCTAATACAACAACATTTGAGCAACTTCGGACTTAGCCTCGAAGACATAGTTGCTTTCACAACAGACGGAGCCAGCGTAATGATTAAAATGGGCAAAAATTTTGACGGCCCCCATCAATTGTGTTTCGCCCACGGCATACAACTTGCGGTTCTCGATGCAAAGAACGAGTCAACGCCCAATCCCAACCCAGAGCAACAAGATAAAGAACTGGATTACGACTCTGAAGATTCTGAAGAAAACTATGGAGGATTTGATATCGAAGTACCAAGAATTCCAGAATCTGAATTTCTGTACAAAGATACTATAAAAAAAGTACGAGATTTTGTTAAATCTTTTAAAAAGTCACCCTTGAAAAATGACTTGTTGCATAAATACTCTGTAGAAGAATGTGGAAAGGGCCTGGATCTTATGCTCGACTGCAAGACTAGGTGGAACAGCTTGTCGGATATGATAGGCCGATTTTTAAAATTAAAATCAAGTGTCATGAAGGCATTACTGGATTTGAAATCAAATATAAATTTTACAGAAAAAGAAATCCAAGACCTGCACGATATTCATCATAGTTTAGATGTTATAAAAACAACTGTGATGTCTTTGTGTCGCCGGGATTCAAACTTATTGACGGCAGATGCTGCTCTTCAGTATATGTTAAATAAACTTGATCATCAGCACAACGAACTCAGCTGTGGCGGCGCTGTCGTCGCGCCACAAGCGAAACACATCGAAGCCTAAATCGCGCTATCACAGTTCCGAAATTAAAGCAGCATATATAGAATAGCTCCGAACTAACAATTGGAGCGTTGGCCGCTCCCCGGGCAGAACACCTTGCCCGGTGGGAGATCTCCCCTTTTCCTTACACCCGCTACAATGGTGACCCCGACGTGAAATGAACACGCAACCGAATAACCTTCGAAAAATATAACTTCAAAACCTTCGTCATCGTCCTCAAGTACCACATTCATTCGCTCCCAAGCAGATATTGTCTGCAATCTTCACATTCTGCAAGCCATCTAGCTTTACAAAGGTTCATCGCAGCACTGGAATAATAATGCTTCCTGTTCCTTCAAGCTACTCTCTGCGCTAGTGTTCGGCACGGCTCTGAGCCTTACTGCTCGCCTCTGCTTCACGGCACTCTCGCAGATTACTTGCCTTCTTCTCGACTCACCGCAGACTACAAGGCAATTCCCTGGCACTTGCAAATTCGTCGACATCTAGACTGCACTATCGACCTCCGATCTGAGCAGGGGGGTGATGTGGCGGCGCTGTCGTCGCGCCACAAGCGAAACACATCGAAGCCTAAATCGCGCTATCAAAGTTCCGAAATTAAAGCAGCATATATAGAATAGCTCCGAACTAACAATTAGAGCGTTGGCCGCTCCCCGGGCAGAACACCTTGCCCGGTGGGAGATCTCCCCTTTTCCTTACACCCGCTACACAGTGAAAGGCTTGCTATTTTCCTTAGAAAAAGAATAAAAGAGAGACGAACGAGTGTATCTGGTATTTTACAGTATTTGCATAACAATGAACAATTTTACGAAACCATATCAACAGAAACCTTCACAAAACCGAGATCAGATTATATAAGGACATATATTACAAGATTATTAGAAAGGCTGAAATTAACAGCTAACACAACGTCTGCACAGACAAGTCAAAGTCCAATACAACAAATAAGCACAGGACATACTGACTCCAGTGACGAAGAGTTAACTGTAGCCCAGGAATTAGAAAAAGAGATATGTAAAGCCACGTCACAGGTAAACAAATCTACGGTTAACACAGATCTTGAGTCCATTGTTAAAGTGGAAATGTGCATCTATGATAGTGCTGGCAGTGGTCGTGGAGTTTACCTAACAGCAGCGTATAATTATTTACTATCAATTACACCAACAAGTGTTGAAGCTGTACGTGCTTTTTCTTCAGCTGGTTATATATGTAGTAAATTAAGAAGTTCATTAAGCGATAAAACACTAAACGCGTTGTCGTTTATGAGATCTCATTTTCAGGAAAAGTCAAATAAGTAAAATAAAAGAGAATTCTGTTAAGGAAAAAGATCTCTTTATTTTGTTATAAATCTATCTAATATCTTTGTGTTGTGATTTGAGATTAAGTTATATGATTGGTATTCAATAAAAACTTTAGTTTAATCAAAGTTCTTGTACACTTCTTACATTAGCCATTGCTACCTATAAAATAAAATATTCGATTTCAAAAATATCTTAGAAATTACGTAATTACGTAGTTACGTAATTGGACCACCAAAATTCGTAATCAGTTACGTAATTAACATATCCGTAATTTTGGAAGCCCTAGTCATCTGCATAACAACGAATGTTACTGATTTGCAACATGCCATTGATATGCAATAGAAACAGCGTTGGCGATAGCACGCAGCCTTGTGGAACACCAGCGTTAATGGGCTTGTAAGCGGAGCATGCACCATCTACTACGACCTTGATGCTCCGATCTGCAAGAAAACCGGTGATTCAATTGCACAATTTCTAGGGAAGCCCATAAGAAGGAAGCTTCTTTAGAAGCGCTTTGTGCCAAACCCGATCGAAGGTCTTCGCTATGTCGAAACAAATGGCCAACGCCTCCCCCTTGGACTCTACTGTCTCCGTCCATTTATAAATTAAGTAACGCAGAAGAGATCACCAGCCGAGCAACCGCGACAGAAACCGTACTGACGCTCACTAATCAGCTGGTTATCCTCAAGGTACCGCGATTATTTGCGATTATTTATTGAAACGTAATGAAACCTAACCATTTTTGAAAAGATTGATCACTGGTGATGAAAAGTGGATCACCTACGACAAGAACGTGCGAATAAAATCATGGTCAAAGGGTAGTCAAGCTCCACAGACTGTAGCGTTAGGTACCCAGATAACACGCAATAAGGTTATTTGTGTATGGTGGGATTGGAAGGGCATCGTTTATTATGAGCTTTTACCGCTGAGCAAAACCATCGATTTGGAACTCTACTGCCGACAACTAATGACACTCAAGCAAGAAATTAAAATAAAACGGCCGAAATTGATCAACAGAAAAGGAATGGTAATTCATCGTGATAACGCCAGACCACACACATATTTGGCCACTCAGCAAAAATTGAGGGAGAATGTTTGGGGAGTGTTAATGCATTCACCATATGGTGTTGACTTTGCACCCTCAGATTTTCACTTTTTTCGGTCGCTTTAGAATTCTCTAGATATATTACGCCTACGCTCAAACCTAAACCTAAATTTAGCCGGCTAATCTTAAGTTTATTATTTACACTTACATTAACCATAACATATACACAAATAAGAAAACATAGAACGTTTAAAGAACTTTATTACAAAAACCAGAATTACACCATAAAGTTGAGAAAATAATTAAAAAAAAATTTAAGCTAATTTTCAAATGTTTCTAAATCTGTTGCTGAATAAACCTTAAACTCGTCGCCAGGAGTCCATGTTGCACCATCTACTACAGTTTCAGTTCTATATTGCTCATGTTTGGGATCGTGGAAGCTGACAATATTAAGTACAGGAGCAGTGCCTCCGAAGGCTATTCGTTCTTGGTGGCTGGCGATCGCCAGAATCGTTCCAGTAACGGGATATGAGCAGCTAATGTACCTATTGTGCAAGTTAATCACTTCTAAGCAACTGGTGCCGCTACCACCTATGAGAGCATACTTTCCTTTGCGATTAAACTGAAAAGAAAACAGTTTATCCATGCGTTTATTCTGTTTTATATTTTCTAAATAGTTTTATATTTTCTATGTGGGCTTGTTTTATGCCTTGAAACCGATTTGAACTTGAACCGTCTTACCTATTTCTACCGCTAAGGAGTAGACGACTAGGTCCTATTGTGTTCCAATTTATAGAGTAAGACGAGCCCCCTACTACAAGACTCTTTTTCTGCTTATAGGTGTTATACCTGTAAGCAGTCTTAGTCTGGGTAAATACCACCTCTTAGCTATTTATGCCACCAAGCAACAGTACGAGTACTGCTATGTTCTGGTCAGAAGTGCATATATCGCCAGTATTTACACTCTCAGAATATAATTATAATTATTCGAGACATTTTATCGAAATAGAGATTGACGGTATGGAGAGTGTACCAGTGTTTGCGCAGACATTCAAGCACTACTTATCATCATCCATAATCTCCGTTTAAAATGGATGTCGTAATCTAAATTCGGTTGTCCTTCAGTATTATTATTAAAAAAAGTTGAAGGACCTATACAATTACAGACTATGGGGTGATTATATCTTCGTTTGAAGTTAGTTACAGGTGCCCAGGGGTGACGATAACCATTTACCTACCATCAAGTGAACTGTTAGCTTGTTTAAACATGTAATATTATTAAAAATCAACAATGCAGTGAAACACCACCTCGGTACGTTTTCAAATCAATAAGACATGGAAAAACTACGCTTAATAGTGGCAATGAAACAGACAATTCGAATAAAAAAAGACAAAAGGCGGGCTCAGTTATCACTATAGTATTATACGTGGGTGGTCTGAAAAGTTTCCGACCTAACAAAGATACAAGACATTTTTTCTTAAACTGTATTTTGTTTTTTCTACATAGTCTCCTTGTAACTCTACATACTTCTCCCAGCGATGCTCCCATCTCTCTAACACACCCAAATAGTACTCGGCGTTTTTCTCTGTAAAATAATTGTTTTCAAAGTTGATTGCCTCCTCATTTGACAAAAATCTTTGTCTTCCGAGCACAATTTTTAGATGAGGGAACAAAAAGAAGTCGCTTGGGGCTAGATGTGATGAGTAAGGCGGATGGTCTAGCAGTTCAAACCGTAATTCGGGGATTTTCGCCATGACAACCACTAAGGTGTGAGACAGCGCGTTGTCACGGTGAAACAAGATTTTTTTTAATGTGGCCGTTTTTCTGCAATTTCTGCCTTCAGTTTATCAAGTAATGATGCGTAATATACTCCTCTAATGGTTTTTTCTTTTTGAAGATAATCGATTAAGATAACTCCACGACTATCCCAAAAAACCGTCGCCATCATTTTCCCAGCCGAAAAAATAGTTTTTGCTTTTTTTGAAGTCGGTTCCGTTCGAGCGTATAATGGTGTATCCAAGTCGTATCAACAGTAATTAATCGGCGCCAAAACTCGGATTTATTGCACTTAAAGTGCGCTAACAGAGCGTTGGCAATATACATTCGAACACGTTTTTGGTCTAAAGTGAACAAACGCAGCAAACAGCGCGCAGACAGTTTTCTCATGCCTAAATCTTGATTTAGTATGCGACAAACACGTTCCTTGGACATTTTCAAATCGTCTGCTATCTCTCTCACTTTAATTTGGCGGTTGTTTCGCACCATTTGGTGAACTTTAGCGATGTTATCGTCAGTAGTTGCAGTTTTTGGACGTCCCGAACGTTCATCATCTCCCAAGCTCTCTCAGTCACGTTTAAATTCAGCTGCCCAAAATTTCACTGTGGTAAATGATGGTGTCCAAAAGGCTGAAATTTTGGTGCGTATTGTCAAAAGATGCACAACTACATTCATATTGAGGTCGGAAACTTTTCTGACCACCCTAGTAAAAAAATAAATTATCACTTTCTCTGGAATTTACTCAATTTCTAGATATCTAATACAAAACAATACCAACCAATATGTGGAGCTTAGATACCTTTTCTGGTATATTCTGTCACGATGAAATCTTGTGTTTAAAAGCCGTATTCTAGGAAATACTATTAATTTTTATCTTCTTATCATAACCGGGGTTCTCCAGTTAGATCAACATAAATATTTACAATAATAACCTAAGCTAGACCATGATATTTTATTTTTATATAGGATAGGGTGACAAACGAGCACACAGTTCACCAGATGGTAAGTGGCTGCTGTGGCCTATAGACATCTACGTCTATCCTCGTTTGCAAATCAAAATGCAGATGCGTTATCACCCGTGAGGACTAAGATAGAATGCCTCTTTTCCAGTAAAAAGGGTCTCCGGTTCTCTACACTCACTATACGAAACACGCAGCGTTAAACTACGCTGGTATTCTGTAAGAGCGTGGTCCTTCTCCGGTCGAGCCGACCCATTCGTGCTACAACTTTACTACTAATATAGCTGCAGCATGGCTCTACCACATTTAGAGATCTGTATAGAGAGTTGACAATTAAGTGACTAGTTGTCAAATATACCAAAATCTAGATATTTTGTTGTTATGTGTTACTTACCCATTAAAACACAGAGATAGGTACATTCATTTATAATACATGTACCTACAATACGATTAAAATAAGAATAGGAACATCAATGACCCCGAATAACCGCGATCTTTGAACTGTCACTTGAAAAGTACGGCTTGCAAAGAAAATTAATTTTCTACACACACAAATATAAAATATCTACTTAATTGAGTTGATTTAAGAATAATTTAAAACTGTTTTTTTTTCTTTTTTATTGTTGGCAACATTTCGCCAAAAAACAAAGAGGATGCCATCTTGTCGATGTCAGTGTGCTTTATCGTGCTTCATTTGATACATTTGCTTGTGGAGTGCTTCTATATGTTACGCGGTTGTTTCCAAATTGAGAGCCTAAAACTAGAAACAATTGTTACAATTACCAGTAACGATTGGAAGAAAGAAATAAACCACGTCAAGCGAATCGACAATGAATACTAGTAAAGGAAGATACTTCAAGACGATGATAACTTTAGTTTTATCATAAACACGAACACAATAAAATGCCTATTTTTCTTTTAAATAGCAGTCAGTGGAATATTTTAAATACCTACATAAATATGTTTTATTTTTATAGGGAAAAGCAGCAGTGATGATGATGATAATGATAATGACTACTCAGACGCATAATGCAAAGATGAGCGTAATTAAAGTGCTAGATTCTCATTAAAACTTTTTTCATAATTCTTTTGTATTTAATTGTAAATATCATTACAAAAATATCCGTTTTGCACACCCAACCTAACTGGTTTGAATTGACAGCTATAACTTTACAATATGGCGCCAAGTCAGTCTGTCAGTCAATTCTTATTGCAATCGCATAGTATTTAGAATAAAAAAAGGTTACAATAATCTGTAACTCAAAACTGCACATACTAATTGTATATTTATTACTATAGTTCGTCTTTGCAAAAGTAAAATAAATAAACCAGAAGTTATTGCAAAAAAACTGTTAGAAGACTATAACTTTATATCCAACCTCTTTCGACCTCCAGTATCGACAAGCGTAAATGTACTCGCCGTCAACATCAGGCCGTCGATTTTGCACTCGTATAGTATTCAGTTTCTTCTTTGCTACAAGGTCCCACACTGTCAGAGCTTCGGTTGGTTGCCAGCTGCCAGCTAGGCAATGGTCCCTCTAAAACAGAAGTATCATCTTATAAATATTACACCACTTCTAGACTTCGTTTCTTCGGAATCAAAATAGATCTAAATTGATCGCCCTTATGTTGACGTCATAAGTAATAGTTCGCTTGTCAAGTGTGATTGCCTGCAGTAAACGGTTTACGGACTGTTCTTAAATATCTATGAGGGCACGAAATCTTAAAATTTGTCTCTTGTGTTGGTTTTTCATCAGCTCTTAAACGATCACATCCATTCGTTCACTGCTATACAAAGGACCTCTCCCGCTGCACATCGCAATAATATTTACTTGTAGTCACTTACGTTTAAGTCAATGCTGTCGGAGCATATATCGACACCTTCGAATGTCATTACACAGCCAATTTTGCACCGTATGTCCCAAATCTTAAAAAAAATACAAAGCAAAATAAATGGTGTTATTAATCTGAATTTTAGAAAATCAAAATGCAACAGATGAAAACGCCATAGCTTAAATCCAATCCACACATTTTTTAGGACCTTTTTATGTGTTACTTGAAAGATTTACCCATACTCACCAGTATTGGTAATGGTTAGCACCAAGTCGGTACCCATTAACATTTTTAAATTATTTTGCTCTGAAAAGTAAATCGCCATCCGCTTTCAAGTAAAATAATAATAAATTAAATTGGTAATATCTCTTAAGAAATATTTTGATGCAATTTTGAAGACATGTGAATCATGTTAAGTCGCCAACACGCATTGGGGCAGCGAGCGGAGATTTCCTGACCATAAAACCATCCCAGGAATGAGAGGAAGTCTGTGCCTAGCAGTGTGACGTAGAAATTCTGTAACTTTAATAATATTTTGATAAATGATAACTCATTATTATTATTATTATTTACAAAAAATAATTTAAGAACTAGAATGGCATTTAATCAGCATACAAAATTATGGTAACCACATGGCTCAAAATTATGGAAAAATGTGGTTATATAACTTAACTGATCAAGGGCTCCATCATAAAAACTAGCATACACTTATAAAAATGTAAAAGTAAAAAGACATTTTACCGTGAAGTGGTGGTGTGTATGCACTACCCCTTATTATCCCGTGAAAGTAAATAAAAAATATATAAAAACTGCGGTTGCCAACCCGTTGCCAAGCGTGGCAATTATGGCATATTATAACCCCTATGAGGCAATCTATTGTCCAGCAGTGGACTTTTGATGGTTTGTAATGGTAAATAAGACGTTGAAAAAAAGAAAGAAAAACAAGTTGTTGATAAAACAGTCGGTAACTAAAACCTCATTTACCCTCAAAGTTCTATCCCAAGCTCCACTAGCAAACATGTAGATCTTCTGGTCGTGGCAACGCAGCGCACAGACCTGGCCGGTATGCATACGTTGTAGTTTCTTCGGTATAAACTGCAGTCGCAGCTTCTGCACTTTGTATGTCAAATCTAACTGCATAAAAAAACATTATTAACTTCCCATTCAAAGTTTTCGTAATGGTCGTTCCCACCATTTGAAGTCCCTTGAGTTCAATTATTTTTATAATTAATGACAGAATTCTTATAAAACTTTACATGCCGCATGGTGGCGCAATATGGTGACTGAAAAATACTACCAGACAAGGTCAACCGGACAATCTTATTTCCTCCGATAGATCTTCACAAAACGAGTTGTTCGTCAATCGTCAGTCTGCCTACCAAGTCCGACGATTATAGCAAATTTCCCCTATTACGGGAGAGATCCAAATCATGCGGTGGACTTTCAGAGACTAGTAAAAAAGATGGAAGACGAACTTTACGTTACGACCCTTTTTACTGGAAACGAGGTATTCCATCTTAGTCCTCAACGATGATAACGCGTCTTCATTTTGATTCTTAATCGAAGATAGATGTAGATGTCTATAGGCCACAACATCCACCTACCATCATGAGAACTGTGTGCTCGTTTGTCACGTTTAATCTATAAAAAAAATTGAAAACAACTTAGGTAATTAGAATTCGGATATAAATACATAGGCCGAAAGTATTTTTTTATGTTTTTTAAATCGGAGTTTAATCACAAACTACAGTTAGATAAGACCGTGTAGTTTCATCTCATCAGATATTGTCTGAAATAATCCTTGACCAGCGAACCACTTAATAAAGGTTTAAGGATCGTCAAAGATCTATAAAGCAGATATGATACCGCTATAAAATGAGATTAAAGTCTTTTTATTACATTACATTTAACAGCTTTCCACTTTTTTATGTATTTTATAAATTGTATTATACATTATTAATGTTTAAGATTATAAGTTTTGGTTCCTTGGCATACATAATTAAGCTATGCATACTAACTACAGATATAATTGCAATTCTTGAAAAATCCTAACTAAATTTACATCGTAACTAAATTTATGTCTTGCGATGTTCATAATTTATTATAAAATAGTGATAAATGGGCTAACAGTGCAATGTGGTAGTAAATTGTTGCTGCATTCAATGGACACCTTCTTTTTATAAGGGTGACAAACGAGTACACAGTCCACCAGATGGTAAGTGGTAGCTGCGGCCCATAGACATCTACATCTATCCTCGATTACAAATCAAAATGCAGAAGCGTTGTCACCCGTGAGGACTAAGATGGAACGCCTCATCTCCAGTAAAAAGGGTCTCCGGTCCTCTACACTCACCATACGAAACACAGCAGCGTTAAGCTGCTATTTTACGCTGGTATTCTGTGAGAGCGTGGTCCTTCCCCGGTCGAGTCGACCCATTCGTGCTAAAACTATACTACTAATATAGCTGCAGCATGGCTCTACCACGTAAAAACCTTAAACTAGCTTCGAACAAAAAAGCTGCAATTACGTTGTCACTCCTAAAGACTAAGGTGCAATACCTCAAAGCCATTTTAAGTGACCAAACGGGTATACTATCCACCTGATGATAAGTAGATACTGTGGTACATAGGATACCTTAATCTATCCTCGGTTAAGAATCTAAATGTTTTGTCACCCTCAAAGGAGTATGGTGGAATTCCTAGTTACCATTAAAAGGGACTAGGCTTCTTATCCTTTAAACCAAAACACGATAGAGGTGCACTGAGATGCATGGTGATAAAACAACAAGTAGTAACATAACAAACCAGTCTTTTTTATAGAATAAGGGTGACAAACGAGCACATCACATTCGACCTCATTGTAAATGGAAAATGTGGTCTATAGACACACATACATTAATCTTCAATTAAGAATCAAAATGCAAATGCGTTGTCACCCGTGAGGAAATAGGGGTCTCCGGTTCTCTACACCCACCATACGAAACAATGCAGCATTAAGCTGCTATTTTACGATGGTATTTTGTTACTTGTCCTCCCCTGGTCGAGATGACCGATTCGTACTAAAACCATAATATAGCTGCACCGTGGCTCTACCACATATGTGGTATCTCTATCTTAATATAGTAATGCTATGGGTAATACGATAATAAGATAGAGAGTGTTGCCTTTGGCTGGAATTCGAATTCCAAATGCGCAATGTAGTGACTGATTCTTAGAGCGATGGTCGTTAACACACACTAAATATAAATTATGGAAAACTCAGCTCACGGAATAAACAAGATCTGTGTGTGAAGTTGTAAGGATATAAAACGGAATTTTCTCACTGTAATAATAATTCAAATAACCTCTTGGGTTTCCATGTCGTACACTTTAATGGAGGAGTCGCCGTAACCAACGACCATTTTCGCCTGGTCAGCTGTAATTCCCAATGATAGCGCCGAGTACCTTTCTGAGAAGAAAGGTCATTTTTATTCTATACTAATAAAATTATATAAAATATATAAAGGTTATTTCTATATAACAATGTGAACGTTATTTTAATGTTATTGCAAATAACTAAAACAAATTTTTTAATCAGGTATTTATTTTGTGTATATTAGCACTGCACCAGAGATTAGTAGTCACATTGTTGCAAGACACAAATACAAGTTGCAAATCGTCTTTTTATTTTATACTAGTTTTTGTCCGCGACTTCGTCCACATAGATATTATACTTTAAACCAGGTGATCACCCTCTTTAGGGATGATTTCCGTGATCAAAACTATCCTATTTCCTTCCCCGGGACTTAAACTATCTCGATACCAAATTTCATCTAAATCGGTTCAGCTGTTTAAACGTGAAGAGTTACATTTGCTCACTCGGCGATGAGCGATGTTTTCCCCCACCTCGCCCGCAGTACGCCCGAGCCCAACCGCCTTGCGCGCGCCGTATCGCAATCGTTGTCACTTTTAAAATTTAAAATATTTGACAAAATTACGTAGTTTAAAAGACAAATTTTATGTACTTTGAACATCAGAAGCGTAATTATAAAGTATTTATTTTGGTAACATCCATTTGTTACGGCAAAATGTGCATTGGAAACAAATTATCAAATATTATTGTTTTTATTGATCACTATTTTGGTAATAATGGCTTAGATATAAATTTTTATAGTACTATTTAGGAGAAACAATTCCACCATACATTATATTTATGTAACCCTTACAGTTTTTGCACCGCACGCCAAAATAGCTCGCAGATGACAGATTTTTTCCGACTTCTTAACACGTATCGTTATATTTTGACCAATTTACACAATATCTTTATTAATTATAGCCTTTGTGTTGTTCTGGTGTATGAGCTATATAATTGTAAAGTTTCATTAAAATACATTCAGTAGTTTTTTTTTTCTGTGGAAGAGTAACAAACATCCATACATACTCACAATCTTTTACGTTTATAATATTACGAGTAGTAGCATAATTAGTTTCTAAAAAGCACGTAAGTCAAAATAGCTAAGCCATCGCTGTCTTGTCTACCTAAGTAATCTGAATGAATGAATTAAAAAACAGCAGTACAGCAAATTTTTAGATAAAAGTATTGGACAAAATATAAGTGGTATAAGAACACTTCGTGAAAACCTCACAAGCTGTGCATAAAGAAAATAATAAAACGTAATGATAAGAGCTGCATATTATGTCACTTCAAACTAGCGAGACTTGTGTGATTGACACAAATGTCTCGCAAGTAGCATTTAGTTGATAATGAAGAGTGAGGTACTAATAAAACTAATTTTACGGATTTTATGGCGTTTAATTTAAGGTGGAAGCGCCAGAGTAGCCCGCGAAATTCAAATTTTCTTACGTTTTTTTACACAATTTGCAGGTCAGTGTCGGGTTGTATGTTTAACAAAATATGATTCGCGACCGTAACGAGTATATATTTACAGAATCATAATCATTATAATCATCAATACAACCGTCTATGTTCATATAATTCCAATGTATGGCTATTTCCAGAAAAACTAATTCAAAGGGATTATATGAACTTAGAGGGTTGTATTGGTGATTTTAATGATAATAATTCTATAAACACATACTCGTTACGGTCGCGAATCATATTTTATTAAAAATTTAACCAGACCCTTACCTGCAAATTCCAAAACACGCAAGAAAATTTGTATTGGTTATTTTAATGATAATAATTCTATAAACACATACTCGTTACGGTCGCGAATCATATTTTATTAAACATTTAACCAGACCCTTACCTGCAAATTCCAAAACACGCAAGAAAATTTGAGCTTATTCTACTTATTTTTAATTCCCGACGTTTCGATCTCGGGCTACCATGAGTTTTTGAATATTCATTTTTGGTCCAATCTACGCAGAACAAGCTTACAGTATCTCGAAGTCTTGCAGTGGTATCTTGTGTTTGGATTTAATTTTATTAATTATAGGATAAAAAGCAGCACCCAGCCTTTTTCTCTATTGACATTGCAGTACCGACACCATTAAAAACTGATAAATAACATGTCCCTCCAAATATTACATAATGTTTTTTTTTTAAATTAATACCAATAATTTTTTAAGTTGAAAAATAGGTACTGATTGTTCCTTCTATCCTCATAACTTATTAAAACTCTTAACACGTACGCGTAATAAATGGTGTAGAAGATGATGAGATTCCAGGAGCTCCATAGAACTGCGTATTCATTGATTCGAGGGCTGGATCTGCCCTAATACAGAATTCTGGTGGATCTTCTATTGACACGTTTATCTAAAAAAATATTGTAAAAGGTAACGATTAGGTTTATAAGTTTTGTCCGATTGTTTAAATATCTACTTAAAAAATATACAAATGTAAATTTGAGCGGGGAGGAGCAAGCAGCTAAAGTTGAAGTCAAAAATCTCATTAACTCTTGCATTCACCATTGGAAACTATTATTTGAAATAGTGAATCATAAATTAAATGGAAGAGGTAACATTATTTAATCTGTGGCCTTAGCATGAGGTTGATACAGTCATAAATGTCGTTGCCTTTTGTACATACAAAAAGGGATCATCATATCCAGTTCCTAATATCAAAATATTCAAACACATAATTCACCATTTTTAAATCCGTGTTATAAAAATCTAGTGATCCAGTGATCAGACCATTTAGTATGTATTCTGTGTCGTGAAAGACGTGTACGTCGTGTAAAGTATTTTGTACGTGGTGGAGCCATACTACAGCTATATTATAGTTGTAGCACAAATAGGTCGGCTCGATCGGGGAAGAACCACGCTCTGACAGAATACGAACCTAATATAGCAGCTTAATGCTGCTGTGTTTCGTATGGTGAGTGTGGAGAAACGGAAACCCTTTTTATTGGTAACGAGGCATTCCATCTTAGTCGTCAGAGGTCAGAACAGATGTAGATGTCTATGGGCCACAACATTTACTTATTAACTGTGTTCGTTTGCCATCCTCATGCCATAAAAAAGACGATTATTAGAAATTCATAAAGGATCTCATTGCTTCCAACCTATAAAAATACACTGCTGAACATAGGCCCTCTCATAGATTCCCTCATAGGGAGGATTTTGCCACATTTGCCACGCTTGGCAGGCGGGTTAGCAATAGCTGCCCTCCATTATTTTGAGTTGTATCAGGAATATACTGCTGACACCACGGGACGATATGGAGTAGTGGATATTCTTGCACCGTCACTACACGGTTTATTTCTGCCAGATATAAAATACTTAGACCAGCGACGAACGTCATAATAATGTCCTCCAGAACGAATTTTGGTCATGGCTCCCAGTCTCAACGGAAACTAAGCGAAAACACAGGTGCACTATTTATTCCGTCAGTCAATGGGTCATCTACAGGGGTAATTCAACACCGTAGGTATCGGCTTTCGAACTTTACCCTAACCACTTTACCCGGAAGTCTTCTCAGGGAAGTAACGAGCCCCCGGGTTCTTGTAAACTACACATGAACGAGCAGATTTTGATGTTTATGCCTTTGGCTTGTGGATTGTTTTTCCTTCTTCTTCTTACTTCTTCTTCTGTTTTGGGCATGTTCTTTTTGTTGTGTTGTTGTTTCCTCTCTAGTCACCCTCTGATCCCCCAATAATCAAAGGCGTCTTCAGGTGCTCTCTCGGAAGTCGTCAAATTTGCCACTATGTCTGGCGTATGTGGACTATGAGAAAGCCTTTGATTCCGTCGAAATTTGGGCGGTGCTGCAGTCCCTTCAGCGGTGCCAAGTTGACTGTCGGTTTATCGAAGTTTTGAAGTGCTTTTACAGTAGGGCTACGATGGCTATCCGAGTACAGAACCAGAGTAAGAAACCTATCCAATTGCAGAGAAGTGTAAGACAGGGTGACGTCATATCCTCGAAACTCTTCACCGCTGCATTGGAAGACGTTTTCAAGCTTCTGGACTGGAAATGATACGGTATCAACATCAATGGCGAGTACATCACTCACCTTCGATTTGCCGACGATATAGTCCTTATGGCAGAATCGCTGGAGGACCTAAGCACTACGCTTAATGACCTCAATAGTGTTTCCCTACGGTTAGGTCTTAAGATGAACATGGACAAAACAAAGATCATGTTTAATGTCCATGTCACACCTATGCCGGTAGTTGTTGGGAGCACTAAGGTCAAAGTAGTTGACGAGTATGTTTACCTGGGACAAATAGTCCGACTAGGTAAGTCCAACTTCTACCGAGGTCAATCGACGGATTCAGCTCGGTTGGGCAGCGTTCGGTAAATTACGGCACATCTTCTCGTCATGTATACCTCAAAACTTGAAAACGAGACTGTACAACCAGTGCGTGTTGCCAGTGATGACATATGGAACTGAGACGTGGTCCTTCACTGCTGGCCGGATAAGGAAGCTCAAGGTCGCTCAACGAGCTATGGAGAGGGCTATGCTCGGAGTTTCTCTGCGTGATAAATTTAGAAATTAGCATATACGCAGTAGAACCAGAGTGACCGACATATCCCAATGGATTAGTAAGCTGAAGTGGCAATGGGCCGGCCATATACCTCGAAGAACCGACAACCGATGGGGAAAAAGGTTCTCGAGTGGCAGCCTCGTACCGGCAGGCGAAGTGTAGGGCGTCCCCCCACTAGATGGAGTGACGACCTGGTAAGATATGCAGGAAGTCGATGGATGCAGGTGGCTCAGGAACGTGCTTTGTGGCATTCTTTGGGGGAGGCCTATGTTCAGCAGTGGACTTGTGAAGGGCTGTAATGATGATGATGATGAATTGCCAGAGAATGCCGAACGGCAATTGGTATTAAATCCATATCTCGTATTTTATAATTCGATATTACTGGAATGTGAATGATATAAGACACTAAACTTTCATTTGCGCCACGATTTAACTGGTGCAGAATAATAAATGTACATTTTAGATTCTTTAAATAGCGGTAAAATAGTAATGCTTGTCCAAAAATATGGCTGTTCTTAGCTTTAACCGTTCATAAGTTGGTTGGACAGATTTATTTGAATAGTTACGTAACTAAAAAGTTTTGTAGAACTGCACATGGAAATGGAATTATTAGGAATAATATGAAATATGAAATTACATTCACTGTAATGTACTTAACAAAAACCATTTTCATTTTTAGAAAGGTATGGAGTGGTTTTTATAGGATAAGGGTGACAAACAAGCACACGGTCCACCTGATGGTAAGTGGATGTTATGGCCCATATAACCGATTTTATCCTCGATTACGTATCAAATTACAGATGCGTTGTCACCCGTGAGGACTAAGATGGAGTGCCTCGTTTCCAGTAAAAAGGGTCTCCGGTTCTCTACATTGACCATACGAAACAGAGCAGCATGAAGCTGCTATTTTACGCTGGTACTCTGTGAGAGCATGGTTATTGCCCGGTGAAGCCAACCCATTCGTGCTACAACCATAATATAGTTTCAGCATGGCTGGTGTAAATTGTCGTGTAAGTTGGAAATTTTCCAGTGCGCTATGATTGGATTTACACGATTTTTAGTTAATACATCATATATTTGAATTTGTTAGGTACTTTTAGTTACCGTTACCGTTACAACCTGTTAAACCCCACTGCTGTTCAGGTTCAATTCAAATTCAAATTCATTCAAATTCTGTTCTGTTCAATATAGGCCTCGGCCATATAGATTGCCTCATATTTGCCATAGTTGCCACGCTTGGTGAGCCGGTTCCCAACCGTAGTTTTTATTTAATGATTTCTTATATTAGGTCCTTATATATGAAATTGGCGTTTCGTACGGGAGGAATATAAAGTAATTTTTTTTTGTAAAATATATTTAATTAATCAAAGTATGCACCGATGTTATATGCCATCTCATAGGTAGTTCATAGATCCCTTTACTAAAAAAAAACCATGGGGGCGAGAACCAAACTCTTTGAAGGTGGTTTGGACTGCCGCGTCGTAGTTGAATTTTTTTCCTTGTAAGAAGTTGTCCGAATTCCAGAAAAAATGGTAATCTATTTAAGCAAGGTCCGGGGATTACAGTGAATGTCGCAGACATTCCAATTGTAGCTCGTCTAACTTAGTAGTTGTTTGTTGTGCAGTGTGTGGTCTTGCGTTGTCGTGAAGCAGCAGTGGCCTAGAGCGACTGACCAATCTCGGTTGTTTAGCAGCTAGTTCTTCCTTCATGGTTTGCAATTGTTGACAGTAAATATCTGCCGTAATAGTTTGGCCAGATTTTAGAAAGCTGTAGTGAACGACACGGACGCTAGTCCACCAAACACTTACAAGTCACTTTTTCTGAGTCAATTTTCGTTTAGGGCAGGATTTGACTGGGTCTCCAGGGTTCAGCCATTGCGACGAGTGCTTCCGATTATCGTACAGTATCCACTTTTCATCACAAGTAATGTTTCGATTTAAAATCCCTTTATTATTATGTCGGTTGAGCATAGTAACACAGCAGTCGACGCGTGTTTGCAAGTTCGATTCACTCAATTCATGAGGTACCCATCGTTCACGTTTTTTTACTTTCTCGATTTGCTTCAAGTGGATTAATACAGTTTTATTACTTACCCCGAAGCCTGCAGCTATCTCTGAAGTGCTTTGTGATGGATTCGCTTCCACAATAGCTTTTAATTCTTCATTTTCCACTTTGGTCTCCGGTCGTCCACGGGGTTGATTCTGAAGGTCGAAGTTTCCAGAACTAAAACGTAGAAACCAAAAAAGTATCGTGCTTTCTTTTGCAACGCGAGCGCCATATACATCATTAATCCTTCGAGCTGTTTCTGCAGCACTGGTGCCACGGCTAACTCGTACTCGTAAATATACCGATATTTCATGTTTTCCGTTGTTCGGTAAGAAGCGCCAAAGAAAAAACTAATGAGGAAAAAACAAATGAATGACTGTTTTCAAATCTCAAATGTACCAGCTAAATTAATTTATAAATTTGAATTTGGAATTCTTAACCAACTTTGATATTTCAGATCAAAGTGGTCAGTAAGACAAAACGCTAATTTCATATGTAAGGACCTAATATTTACGCGAACACTACACATTTAAATAAAACTAGTTACGACACTTTCATAATTCAACCTTTAGATAAATTAACTGCATTTTTAGACCATCATAATTCCATAAATTCTAAAATTCAGTTCACAATGAAGTCAGAGGCAAACAATTCTTTAGCTCTTCTAGATGTGTTAGTAATTCGGAATCCTGATAACACCTTGAGCCACACTGTGTAAAGAAAAAAGACCCATACAGATAGATATTTAAACGGTGATTCTCATCACCATGCTTCACAGTTAGCTAC